GGGGGCCCGAGGCAAGCCGTTCTGCCCTGCCCTGCCGAGCTGTGACGGTGGCTTTTCTCCACCCTGCCAGCTTCCCTGCAGCGCTGCCTGTCTCGGGCTGTTCCAGCCTCTCCTGCTCAACGCCGCCTTGAGCCGAGCCTGAGCATGGGGCCAAGTGCCAGCTGGGAACTGCGGGGATCCCAGGATGTCCCCTTCTGCAGGGACACCACAGCCGGGGGGAGCGGAGACTTGAGGGGGGCTCACGCAGGGGTTGGGGACTGGATCCCTGGGTTGCTTCGCTCAAGGGCAGCAGAGGAGTCTGTACTCAGCAGACCCTGTCTCTGCTCTGCGCCCGGCCATTTGCTTTCCTTGGTTTTGTCCCTCTCTGCTGTTTCTTGGCCATCGCCAGTGTCCCAAGGCTGGCAGGGAGGAGCAGGAAAAGCTCGGGCAGGAGGAAATCCTCATCCCCTGGGAGCTGTGGCCCCGTGACACCTCCCCGTGAGCACAGTCTGGGGCGAAGCAAAACCAGGATGGTGCTGCTGACCCACCGACCTGTCCTGTGCCTTGGTTTCCCCACAGGGCAGTGGCAGCCCTGCTACTGGGGGAGCAAGGGGCTCCCAGCCTGGCCCTGCTGCCGACCAGGCCATCACTCTGCGCCCCAGCCCTGCTCCTCCCCACGGCCCCATCCCCTGATGGTACCTCCTGGGGCTGGTCCTCATCCCGGAGGAAGATCTGCTGCTTTTTGGCGATGGTGGTCGTCCTGTAGAAATCCACCAGCTCGTTGAGGGAGTTGAACTTTTCCTCCCAGAGGAAATATTTGCCGTTTCTCTCCCTGAGCACCTTGAAGTGCTGGACGTGCTGGCCGTAGCTGTGGAAGAAGGATGGACGTTACTCTGGCCCCAGGATGCTGGCAGCACCCAGACTCCCTTCCGGCATTCTGGGCAAAGCCTAGGGGCTGCTGGCTGGGCCGGGTCTCTGGAGATGGGGTGTGCCCATGGGTCCCATCCTGCCACAGCCAGGGGTGACGTGGCACTGGGGGAACTCCTGACCCCACTGGTGAGGCAGTGGACGAGGGTCCCCAGCACACTAGCTACCTGGACCTGCAGCTGAGACCTGCCACAGCTCATCCCACACACGGCTGAAGCTTGGTGCCTAGCCCCAGCACAGCGGGATGTCCGTGGGCTCGGGGCTGGCAGAGCACTGGCCACATGCAGGGCAGGCGGCTTTGTCCAGGGAGCAGCTAGGGACCCCATCTGGGGAAAGCGTGGCGAGAGTTGCAGGTCTCAGCTCAGCACACACCGGGAGGAGCCTGCAAAGGCTGGGCTCAGGCTCCCAAAGCCCCTGTGCACCTGACAAGCCGCAGGAGGACGGGGCAGGCTGGGATGTCCCTGGCATCCCCTCAGTGTGTACCTGGGGGTGGCAGTTTGGGGTGCCCACACTGTGGGGCTGACACGGGGCCATGGGGGGACCTGCTTCTGCCAGGGCCCCGGGCAGGGGCAGGGAGCTGGCCGTGCTGGTGACGCACAGCAGAACACGGCTCCCTTTCATTATGGGCAAGAACCTCCTTAAACGCTTAATTAGAGATTAGCAGCGTGAGAAAGTGCCTGGTTGGCCTGGGGCTGGCTCCTGCTACCCTGGCCCCCGGCAAGGAAGGGGCAGCGATGGGGTGAGAGGCCCAGAGGCAGGCTCTGCCTGTTGGCACGCTGCCTTCACACAGCCCTGGCTGACGGTGCCGAAATCACCCGCCCCGCGGCATTGGGATGCTGCAGCCCTTCATCCCTGGGGGTGCTCTGGGCAACTTGTTCCTCCAGGCCACGTCCCCTGGGCTGCGCTTGCAGCTTGGCCCCAGCCCTGTCATTACCCGCATGGCCGTACTTAGGGGCACCCCAGCGAGGGACCCTGGTCGAGGCAGTGATGCAGCCCAGCGGTGCAGGCAGGGTGCAGGCAGGGAGCAGGAAGCAGCACGGATGGAGGCGGGGCACGAGGCTGCAGAGGGGAGGAAGGAGAGGAAGGCCCTGTGCAAAGCTGTGCTGGATGCAGTGGGGCTACAGCTCTGCAGCCGCCAGCCCCTTCGAGGTGTCCTGGGCAGGGCAGGGTGCTCGCCCCTTCCCCAGCACCGCGGCGGGGAGCGTGCATAAGGGTGGCCTGATGCCCTCAGTCCCCAAAGTGGGGGCTGCGGGGGACCCCTGCGCATCCTGCCACGTGTCCGTGCACATCCCATGGCCACTTACTTGACGGAGATGGAGAACTCCCCCGGGGTGCTCTCGCTGTCGCGGATCAGGAAGGCTCCCAGGTACTTGCGCTTGAGGAGTCGCTCTTCTGCCAGGTGCCGGGAGATCCTGCCTGCGTACCACCTGCGAGGGGCACCGGGCTCAGCCGCATGGGGACCCCTCGACACCTGGGGACACCACCCTGCCGCATCACCAAACACCCCACTGCCGCATCCCCACCCCACAGGATGGAGGCACCAAGAGCCCCGGTGCCGGTGGGAGTAGGGTCCCTGTTGGGCTTCCCGCAGGGCTGGGACCCCCCCAGCAGTTTCTCCCTTCCCTCCCCCCTCTCAATTTATCACAGCACTTTTGCATGGAGGAGAGGACCACGGGGGGCTGCGGGTGCAGACATGTCCCCATGCACAGCCTCATCCATGCAGGGTTCATGCAGCATTGCTGACCATCGACACCGCATCCTGTCACCCGGCTCGCCGCATCACATGCCTCATCCCCCACTGCGCTGCTTGCCTCCCCACTCCCCGCAGTGTCCCACAGCCCCACGCAGGAACAGCCCTGCCAGGCACTATGGGGGGGTTTGCAGAGTGGAAAACCCTCCCTGCCGGGATGAAACCCTTCCTGCCTGCATTGCCAGCAGCGGCTGAAACAAGGTAGAGGAGCAGAGTCCTTGTCTCCTGTCCCTACCAAGGCTGTGTCTGTGTATTTGGGAGCTCCAGGCCACCAAGCCCCTCTGCTACCTCTTAAAATTGCCCCATGAATCATCAGCCGCAGCCTTTAGCGTGGAGCATCTCCCAGTGCCAGTGCTCCAGGTGCTGCATGGAAGAAGTTGCGTCTCGCCCGTCCCAGCTTGTTAACCGAATCTGGAGAGGCAACGGGATCTGCCCCGGGCTGCTCCGAGCCCACGCGTTCCTGCTCCCCAGCCACAGCCCCAAGCAGGTTTTGCTACGGCATTTAAATGTGATTTGCCAGGGGATAATGATACATAAAACACAGGTTAAAACAGGGATGGATTATGCTGGGCTATAATAACATAGTAATAGGATTGTGTCTAATGCAGTCGTAATCCCATAACACTTTGTTGTTCCTCAATTATCATTTATTTAGCGGGCAGCCCAGTGCGAGGGTTGAATTTCTGTGTGTCGGGGGTACGTGGGCACGCTGCTGCCTCCCATCCCCTCCGGCTGTGGTGGCAATGGCAGACCGACCCCATCGTCGCCACATCGCTCTGTGACTCAGTTTCCCCATGTCTGGAGCTACCCTGGCTCGTGGCAGACCTTTGGGCATTGGGACGCACCGTTGGGATCACTGCCTGGATGGTGGGAGAGGATGCCCTTGTGCCGGTGGGTGCTACCAGAGTGGGGCTTTGAGCCCCCCTTCCCCGCATGGTGGGATGGTACTTACGGGTGCGGCTTGACCTTGATGTAGTTTTTGGGGACGAAGCCCTCGCAGCCGTACAGCTCGGCCTTGTACCAGTTCTGGTCATCTTCCATGTTGAGGATCTAGGGTAGGACAGGAGCAGGGAGGTGTCAGCCCGGCTGCTGTCCTCCTGGGAGAGGGGCCGAGTGGGACCCCCACTGCTGCCCCACATCCCATGTCTCCCACTGAAACCTGGGGAAAAGGGGGCTCTGGCAAAGGCGACATGCTTTGGGGGTGTTTGGGGGCACCTGTACAGAGCTGGCTGCTCCACCCAGCCCTCCTCAGCTTGCAATCGGTCTGGCTCACCACGGGTGCCGGCAGCTGGGGGGTGCCTGGTGTTGCCCCAAACCCCCGGCCAGGGAAGAGGGTAAAATCTGTCCCTGGAGAAGCCGGGGTGGCAGCCAGGGCCCCGTGTCCCCCAGGGCGGAGGCAGCTGGGTGCTCCGTGGGAGGAAGCTCCCTGGTGCGAGCAGGGGTGCTGACACCCGCTTCCGTGCGATACCATTTTCCAGCCTCCCACGCAGGGGCCCAGGGGCCGGCACAGCTGTGCAAACAGGATCCGAAACCCCGGGCCACGGCGCCGAGGCCATGGGGAAAACACACCGGGGAGGCAGGGATGGGCAAGGCGGGTTTGGGGTCCTGGGTTACAGCCGGGCCATGCCCTCACCCTCCTCGGGGCTGGCTGCACCCGTGGGGGGGTGCTAGGTGTCAGGGGTCCAGGAGGCGCGTCCGGCATCTCAGGATCAGCCCCGCAGAGAAGGGTGAGTGGCCAGGCAGCGTGGCAGGGTGCGGGTGCCCTCGCCCCCATTGCAAGGCCACAGTCCCCTGGGGATATTTGGAGCTCCCCTGAAGCTTTTTGGGGTGCTGGGGTGGCATTTGAGAGCCTGTTCCAATGCCAGTGCCTGGAAGGGGGCGGGATTTGGGAACATGCTCTCTGCTGCCGGCTCCCTGCAGCCCCCAATGCCTCCCTGGGGCAGGGAAAACACCTTTCAGCCCCGGGGGTCTGGTGCAGAGCCTGGCTGGGAGAGCCTGTTCCAGTGCCAGTGCCTGGAAGGGGGCGGTATTTGGGAACATGCTCTCTGCTGCCGGATCCCTGCAGCCCCCAATGCCTCCCTGGGGCAGGGAAAACACCTTTCAGCCCCGGGGGTCTGGTGCAGAGCCTGGCTGGTGGCACTGATGGCCAGGGAGGCCATGTGCCTCATCCCGGCTGGGTCCTCTCTGGAGATGTGGCTGATGGCACAGGCAAGTGGTACCCACCGCTCCTGGGGATGCTGCTCCGTACCCCAAAAACCTCAAGGATGGCCCCTTATACCCCACAGAAAGCCCCAAAGAGGCAACAAAGCCAGGTGCAATGAAAGTGCCGGTGTCGCCCCATGCCATGTGCCCACTCTGTCCCCCAAAGC